CCCACATCTGACCTCCCATTCCTGGAAAAAAACAGTCGCTAGAAAGCTTTAACACCACATGATGGCCCAGAACTCCTTGCAAGCAAGGTCAGACCTTGAGAGGTGGTTCAGGTAGCACGGCAGTGAAACACCACCCTGAAAAAGTCTCAAAGCACTTTAAAGTGTGTGTTAAAGGCCATTACCCAAATTCCATAAACGGGGAAACTGAAGTAAAATGAAATGCAGTGATTGGGACCTTCAGCCCCCAACAACCTGGCAGAGCCACCCTGATCGCAGACCTCATTATGCTTCAGAGTTAATCACAATATTGAGGCTCAGGCTCTGGTGTGCTTCATCCCCACCCTGGAGGTGAGCCGGGATAGCTTGCTGCAAAGGATCCAGCCCCCGAGCACCCCGACATCTTCATGGGGGCTTCACGCCTGGACTGGAAAACCCTTCCAGCACTGTGGTGTGGTACCGGGAGACAGAGGCTTCCACTGCGAGAAGGTCAAAGCCGCCTAGACCCGTCCTGAGGCTGCGAGCACGAGGGTCCGAGGGGGTAATGTGCTGTGTTGCAATTGGTAGCGGACTCACAAAGAGAGCTTGTGTTTATGCACCCAGCTATAAATATTCCTTTTTGAAAAGGCACAATGGGAAAAATGTCTAAATGTCTATTTTTGCCTCCTCTGCTTCACCCACTCGAAACATTGACATCATACCAAGCTCCTACTGAGACAGAGTCCTTCCTGAGACCCTGAGTGGCACAACTGCACCCAGCGTAAACGCTGGGGAAAGGGGAGGGGGGGGGGAAAGCATCTTTGTAGCCTGGGAGGAGAGACAGAGCAGCGCTTGGGGAGGGGGAATTCTTGCATGAAAATGGCAAGTTTTCCATTCTTTTTTGATTCCAGTAAAGATGACTGAGCGAAGCCCAAGTCCAGGCTGTCGCGGCTTTGCCCTCAGCTCACCCAAAGTCTGATACTACTCCAAGAGGGTTCTCGCTACCCAGGGTCAGCCTGACCAGCCAGAGAGCAAGCGCTTCTCTCCTGCCTCCCCCTCAATTCCATATAACCCCACAGAATGCACCCTGAGCTGCCTCTAAGGAAAGAAATCCACATCTCGGTGAGAATAAGGCGGTTTGCAGAAGGCTGTGAGCCCCGGGGCTTCGTGAAAAGCTGCGAAAGATCAGAGAACAGCAGCAGCTCCATCACCTCGGCGTCCGCAGCATCTCCCCTCTGCCAGCGCGGGACGGGGAGGACAGGTTGAGCGTTGCTGGCAGGGTTTGGCATGAGCCAGGCACCGCTAATTGCAATTGCTGGCAGCAGCTCAGGTCCTCCAGGGCTCAAACACGAGCGCTTCCCCGCCTGGAGCTGCTGCTGGCACAGGCGGCTGCGTGACGACAGGTGAGTCAATTAGTGAACACAGACACAAAATTGTTGAGAAAAGCTATTTCGGAAACACCTTGGGGTTAGCCGGGCAACGCTTAGCTCTGTTCACAACCAACTCCAATTTCTTCCCGCTGCGGTTATGATCGTGGTGGAGCACTCTGAGATAAAAGGTTCTCTGTGACAAATCTTCCAACAAAAGGCTCCACTTGGGAAGTGAAAATACTGCACTGGAGGCACAGAGACACCCCACAGACCCGATCTAGGGACTGGACCACAGAGTCCTCCCAGAATCAGCATTCTGCTGAGGGTTTGTCACCTCTGCACCACACTGTCAGATCCATGCAGGTGTCTCATCCACATAGCAGCACGTTGCAGACATGCTCAGAGCATCACAGAAGTGTAAGACCAACAAAATATGTTCCAAACATCAGGTTTAATGCCGTCCCAAGCAGGCAGAATGGTAAAATTTAACAGGGATCCTATACTACAAACACTTCAGCAGACATTAATTTTTACAGGTTCAGGATGTCAGTTGGGAACTAACACTACACGGTGCGCACTAAATCTGCTTTTCTCCAGACCTGAGAGCAGACAAGCACAAAATACAACGCCACCACCACCTTTTGTATTTGTCTGCTTTCATTCAAAGGGGGCTTTTAGGAAAAGAGTCAAAAAGTTAAATGATATTATATATATTTAATGCATTCCAAACACCTGAGAGCACCTTTTCCTTTTATTACCAGCTGTGGACAGATCATTTCTTATTGCTGGAATGTGCCACTGAACTACATGGTAGCACACACAAGGGAGGTTTTCTTGCAAAAATAACCCTATTGCAAACACTCGGTGATGGCAAACTGCCCCTGTCAAAAACCAAAGCTCAGTTGGTTTACAGCAGTGGAGAGCCCGATCCGCAAAGTGATGCTAAATCTTATTCCTTAGATGCTTTATGGACCGTTTCACACATGAAGAAGCAGAGGCCAATAAACGCTCATCCCCTCCATAGCCCTGGTCACCAGATGTCCCTGGAGGGCACAGCAGCCCTCGGTACCCCTCCCCAAAGGCAGGAGCACAGAGGAGGTTGGAGGCAAGCTGCCTCAGGTGGGGTCTACAAACCTGCCCACATCACACACCCCTCATGTTCCTAAATGGGTCAGGCGGAGGTGGAAAGCCTGGTCCTCACCTCTCAGCACGCGCTGTTTTCTTTTCTTTTTCAAACTGGGAATAATTCTGCCTCTTCTCCTCTCCTCCCTCACCCTGCAGAGGGTCAGTTCTCCGTGACCAAGCTACGATACGTGTCAGGGTGTGATACACTACACGATGTGTATTAAACCTCAGCTTAGAATGATGACTCCAAATGCAGAAACCACCCAGTTAAAGGCAAGGACATCCAGTCCCCAGGGAAGTTACTCTGGGCAACGTCTTGACCCAAAGGGAGGGCTTCCAATGACAGACCCCCTGCTGTGAGGAGAACCACTCCAAGGGAGTCTTCTACCCGTTTTAGTCTGGTCGTATCTGAACTGTGGTCACATACTGGTCACAGTCACCTAGCTACCATTGGCCGAGCAGTCCCAAGGTGGGCTCACTGGCCGAGGTGGTCTCTGAGACATGTGGCCAGGGGTTGTTTGTGTAAGTGATCACCAGCTCATGAGCTTCCCACCACACTCCTGTACCGTGCCATCAGACCTGCAGGGGGAATGGGGGGATGCTCCTGCCGCATTGGGGAACAGCTCTGGAGCACGGTAACTACCCCCAAACCCTCAGCAGCTTCGCATCCATCAGCCAAGTCCCAAAGCAATACTAAAAGCCTCACCAGGGGTCCCCAGGCCACAATAGCCACCATTCTCCTCAGCTTTCTCACCCCACTCTTGGGTGCTGGCATATATATGACCACACTCACTCCTGCAGGAAATCAATTCTTATTTCGGTTAAATAAGGCAGTCAGCACCTGGCTTACATCTATTTAATGACCTGAGCATCTGGTTTCAATACAGCAGGCAAGGAGCAACCACAGCATAATAAAAGTCATTTAGAGCTGCAATTAGCTCTGGGCCCCCAGTTGTGTATTACAGTAACAAAGTAGGTGCTGCTACGTCCGTTGACAGATGCAGGGGGGGTCAGTTCCACCCCACCCCCCAAGAGACACCCTACATCTCCTCCCATCCTCAGGTCCCCGACGTTCCCCTGGTGCCACATCCAACGTTGCGCTGCTGCTGCCCTGCTCTACCACCTTGCGTGTGGGCAGGGATCCCTGCGCCCCCACCACGCAGCAAACTCGTTCCTACCCAGCTCTCCATCACCAGACCACGGACCAAGGGCAGGGCTCAGGACACCACTACTCGATGGGTTTCAGCCTCACAGCATCCCAGATTGGTGGGGGTGGGAAGGTCCCTCTGGAGCTCCCCCAGTGCCACCCCCCGCCAGAGCAGGGGCACCTCCAGCAGTGGCACAGGACGGCGTCCAGGCGGGTTTGGGATGGCTCCAGAGGGGGAGACTCCCCCACCTCTCTGGGCAGCCTGTGCCACTGCTCTGCCGCCCTCACAGCAGAGAAGGCCCTCCTCAGGTGGAGATGGAACTGCCTATGCTCCAGTTTGTGCCCGTTCCCTCTTGTCCTGTCACTGGGCACCACTGGAAAAAGCATGTTCCCACCCCCCTGGCACCCTCCCTTGAAGGATTGATAAGCGTTGATAAGATCCCTCCTCAGTCTTCTCTTCTCCAGACTAAAAAGACCCAAAAAAGTCTAAAAAGTCCAGTAAATGCAACTTGAACACACCTCACGCCCTAAGGACAGACAGGCCAGGGGAAAAAAGGGAATACAAGTACAAGGAAATGCTCATTTGTAAACTCCTCTCCCTTCCAGTCTGTGCTCCGTCAGCAATATACAGCTTCAAAGAGAGGGGATTCGGATTCTCGGTGCACTTTTCCTCCAGTCACCCGACATCTCAAGCAGATGCAGAGGCACAGATTGTCCCCAGAGGCCGTTCCCCTCAGCCAAATCCCCGCGACGGCTGCTGGCCCTCAGCGCGGATGCCAGCGGGGTCACGAGAGACAGCAGAGCGGAGAACTGGGCCCTGTGTGTGCGCCGGGCGGCGTGGGCGCGCAGGCATCCGCATCCCCACGCTCTGCCTCTGCACTGCTCCCACCGTGGGGCATTTCCAAGGAGCTGGGCAGCACCCGGCTAGCGACACAAGCAAAGCAAGTTCAGTAGAAAGAGGTTATGGGTTTCACCAGACCCAAAAGCGGACAAGCACGAAAGGCAACGCCACCGCCTTTTGTGCTTGTCTGCCGTCATTCGAACGGGGACTTTTAGGAAAAGAGTCAGAAAGTTAAATGCTATTTGCATTTGTAGTTTAATGCACTCTGGAAAACACCTGAGAGCATCTTTTTCTGTTCTTCGTTTCCAGCTGCAGACAGATCATTTCTTCTTGCTGGAACGTGCCAGGGAACTACGCGGTAGCACGCGCAAGGGAGGTTTTCTTGCAAAAATAACCCTATTGCAAACACTCGGTGATGGCAGACTCTCAGCAGCAGACATTCCTCCAGAGTCCTTAGCAGTCCCGAGGCTGCTGCTACCTCTGCTCGGCTTTGACAGCACTTGGGTTTCCTCCTCAAAACCAGCTTCTTGAGGCTCTCTACTTAGCTCTGTCTCTGCCGGCCGGTTGGATGCAGCCTTTCTCCGCTCATCCTGCTCAACGAGCATCTTGACCACGGGGGCCGTGTGAGTGGTGTAGGCAGGCCATGGGCGGTGGCACTGGGTGAAGTGACCGGGCAGAGCCATGTTGGCCGAGGGCAGGCCGCACTCTGGAAACCAAGAAACAGACACCATGAGAGGACAGCCAGTTACCTCCTGGCTTCTTCCTCTCTGGAAGGGTTAGAAAGAAGGATGCCTTTGGTGACACCAAGGATGCGCTCTGGAGCCGAGACCATGGCTAGGATCAGTGATGGCTTTGCTATGGCCATGGAAGGCCGGGCAGCACTAAGGGACAGCAGTGCCATACCAGGTAGCTACGCTGCATCAAGATTCACATAACCCATGCAAGAAATACAGATGATGTCCATCACTTCTAGCCTTTGTGCCTTTATTTTGATACTTGAGCAGAGGATGCGATTGCACTGACCAAGGCGGAGCCGCAGAAGGTCACTATTACACCGAGAAGAATAGTGGGAAAGAAAAGAAGCGGGGGGGACAAGACCGCACTGAAGATCTTTCCAGTCTCAACTTTCTGCCCAAAGACCATTTATCGCTCAAGTCTTGCACCTCAAACACAAAGCTGCAGGGTTGGTAGAACTGGCTGGAAGGGTTAGACTGAACCTACTGGGGAAGATGTCTGTCCAAGGGAAAATTTAAAGCAGAAAATCCAAGAAAAAAAAAAATGCAGGAAAGGAAGATGCATTCAAATAGACCCTGGAAAAAATCAGATCATCAGTATTAGTGTTTTTTAGATGTGCTTTTCATAAAACCAGCTTGCTTTCACTTAGATGTAACTTAGTCCTTTCAGAGTTATAAAGCACAAAACCAGAGTTTTCTGACTCAAATATTTTACTTTTCTCTAACTTTGCCTAGCACAACAGTTACTGTAATTGTGACTAGATAGTCAGAGGGATAAAACACCATCTTGCTCAGGGTAAGATGGTAGGAACATCCTGCTGATACAGGCTCCCCTGAAGGTCCATCACTGTCAAAGGGACAAGCTTCCATGCTACGGCAGATTTAAAACTGGTCCGCAGCAAGCTCTGAAGAGCAGCCTGTGGGCAAGAAGGGAAGGAAGAACAGAGAGATGAAGCAACCGTGTTCTTGCTTAAGACATCCATACTTAAGAGTCTGAGAGTCCCCCAGGCACGGTGGGCACAGCAGTCTGGAGGAGAGGAGATGAGGTGACTCAGTTGCCCTCAAAACAGGCAAGGACAAGAAGGGACTGCTGTGGAGGGCAGCAGAGGCAGAACACGGTCCTATTAAAGAGCAAAGCTCAGGTGGTTTACAGCAGTGGAGAGCCCGATCCGCAAAGTGATGCTAAATCTTATTCCTTAGATGCTTTATGGACCGTTTCACACATGAAGAAGCAGAGGCCAATAAACGCTCATCCCCTCCATAGCCCTGGTCACCAGATGTCCCTGGAGGGCACAGCAGCCCTCGGTACCCCTCCCCAAAGGCAGGAGCACAGAGGAGGTTGGAGGCAAGCTGCCTCAGGTGGGGTCTACAAACCTGCCCACATCACACACCCCTCATGTTCCTAAATGGGTCAGGCGGAGGTGGAAAGCCTGGTCCTCACCTCTCAGCACGCGCTGTTTTCTTTTCTTTTTCAAACTGGGAATACTTCATAGAATCATAGAATGGTTTAGGTTGGAAGGGACCTTGCAGATTGAGTTCCAACCCCCCTGCCCTGGGCAGGGACACCTTCCTCAGGACCAAATTCTGCCTCCTCTTTTCCCCTTCTCTGTCCTGCAGAGGGTCAGTTCTCTGTGACCAAGCTGTGATGCGTATCAGGGAAATGACCAGAACAAAAACACACCGGGGTTTGTTCGGACTCTGACATTCAGCTGCGATACTCAGGGTCCTCATCAGAAAAGCGTGCCAACTTTGGGTGTTCAGAGATGGGGACGTGCAGGGACAAAGCCACATGTATTTCCATCCCTGGAGGTGTTTTTAAAAAAAAAAAAAAAAAAAAAAAAGGAAAAAGGGTAGATGTGGTACCTGGGGACACCATTTAGAAGTGGTTTTGTCAGGGTAGGTTAATGGTTGGACACGATCATCTTAAAGGTCCCTTCCAACCTCAGCAATTCTATGATTCCTCACGAGCTCCTGGTGGAAATTAAAAACAAAAAGCTTGGAGCTCAGAGTTAGAGTTTTAGAGGAATGAGACCATTTAAAGTAACATGCTGCTTCAGATTATCTTCTCCTAAAGCTGTAGGGACAGAAGAATAGAGGAAAAGTATCTTTTGAGTGGCTTCTGCACTGAGCCGCATCCTGCAGGCTCTCAAGCCCAGGAACCCCCACCACAGCCGCCTCTGGCCGTGCCGCGGCTGGTGCCAGATGGGCTCTGGGTGTGTGAAGCATCAGGAATTTGCTTTTACGTAAGCCGGGCTCCCGCTCAGCGCTGCAGGAACGTGGCCGAGCGCTGAGCTCTGCCTTCCCCGCGCTCCCCCTGCCCGGCCCCCTCCCCGCTGCCCGGCTACAACCCGGTACTCCCGCTAACGCCCACCGCCATGAACCGGCGGTCATCGCATCCCAAGGGCGGGTGTCGGGGCTTCACCAGCTTCCCCTGCACGAGCCGTGCTCTCCCCAAACATCCAGCCGGGGGGGGGGAGTAAGATTCCAAACCAAAAAAGTTTCACTGCAGTGATATTGCTGTAAATTTAACACCGCTCCGTACCTGCGCTATATGCACTCGGCTTTACAATCGGGGGAAAAGTCAAAGCAAAAAAATAAAAGTCTTGGTTTTAAATTATGAGCTTTCAGACAGTGGCACACTCTGTGCTGACACAAAATGTTTATTTTGACAAGCTGAGGCAGTCCGGGGCCCTTCAAATGCCTGTTCTGACTCACCATTTGGAGTTTTTAACCGCTGCTCGGGAACTGTTTTACAATTCAGCTCATCAGGCTCACGCGCAGCAAAAACCACTACAAAAGGGTTAAAAAAAAAAAAAAAGTTTGTTGCAGGACAATTCAACTATTCTCCAAGTGTTTCTGATGACCAGGGAATTCTGGCTCAGCCCATCCCAAAGGAAGCGGCACGCCGGGAGCTGCCCTGAGCAGCATATATGTGAGCGTATATGTGTGCAAGCTAAAGGACAGCGGCCCGGTGGGTAAACCAGCAGGATGAGGCACCAAACACCACTAACGAGGCACCAAAAGAGCTCATCTGGAGCCCTTTTGCCCCCCCCCACACACACACACTTTTATAGGCTGCAGCTCAGGTCTTTGTAAAATGAATAAACTCCCCGAGTGGAACTTGGGCACACAGCCACCGTGCGGGGCTGAGCTGCAAATTTAATTCCGCAGTAACAAAGCCCGTGGAAAGAACGCCGGAGGCACGGCGAAACCTCACCGCCTGTTCCCGGGCCGGACCCAAACAACTGCGAGATGGTGCCAGGGGCTCGGGGAGGGTGACAGCGATGGCCACGGCCAAACCGGCAGCACCAGCTCCTACTAAAGCAGACCCAAGCTTAATGGGGGCGAGGAGCACGCCGTAAGGAGATGGCGAGATGTTTCTGCGTATAGCCCCCACAACAAAGCGCGCTGCATGTTTTGCTGAGCAAACGAAAAGATCCAGCGGGTTCCCTCGCCCGAACCATCAACTGCGCAATGAGAAAGGGCACGGAGTGAGCACAACGAGGTGGCGGAATCGGGACGGACAAGGGTTACGGTGCCGAGATGTGGCTCCAGCCCGCACCTCTCGCTTGCGCGCCTGCTGTTTTCCTTGGAACAGTCACCTTTGCTGCACCGAGCCAGAGGTTCCCAGCCCAAAGAGTTTGTGACGCGAAGAGGCCAGCGAAGCGCACGCGTTCAGGGCAGGAGGACATGTGCAGGCTCCAGGCGTGTCTCCTCACAGCTCACTGTTTGCGCAGGATTATCTTGATCCTGGATAAATACTGCTGCTGATGTGATATTAGTGTAGGCCGGGGTTTCAAAAGGGCCTTGGGCTCAGCTGTGTTGCTTAATTGCTACAGCATCATCTCACAGGGCAATAAATAAAAGTTTTTGAATTTCCTAAATGGGGGGGGAAAGCAGTGTGATGGACAGCAACCCCAGTTTGGATATTTGATGGGGGCGGGGAACGTTTGGTGACAGGATAAAGTTTGGATACCCACCAGGTGAATTCTCCGGTGTAGTTGTGGGTGCTTGGGGGCACAGAACCTCAGAGAAGGCCACAAGATTCCAAGTTGCCCATGTTGGAATGCTGAGACAGAGGCTGATGCAAATCCCAGATGTTTCTTCTCTGACCTTATCTCTAGCGCTTCCCAAACCAGCAATGACTAGAGAAGCCCGAGGGAGAGAAGACACAAACATCACCCTGACCACAGAGCCTGGATCCATCAGCTTTTCCTGCAATATGCCCCTGTGGAGGCCACCACAGAAACGACTCCTCCACACCAAGTTCACACCAACAACGTGACAAGAGACAGCCAGATGCCACGACAGCACTGGGAGCTGAAGATGGGAATGCAAAGCACTGGAGAGAAGATGCCAAGGGAATGCCCGGAGCTGACAACATCTCGGAGCAAAATGAGATGGGATCATCAGCCACCATTTGTTATTTACAGCTTGTGCTTGGCTACTGGCCTGGAAGTGACTTCAGTGCCCAGGGAGAAAAGGCTCCACAGCATCCCTGGGAATTCTCTAAGCCTATCAGCTCCTTTGCTTCATAACCACCTGCGAGTGAGACCTGTCTCCAGGATTGTCCTGGTAAAGGCTTTCCGGAGCAGAACTGGCTCAACTTGCCTCCCACTGCAGTGACAGGATGACTGCAGGCCATTACCTCTGCAAACCCTGCCTGGGGGTTATCTGAAGGTATCCACATGACATATCTGCTCACAAACCGCTCCACTGGGAAGCGCTCCAACGCACTCCTCTCCCATCCCGACGCCAGCTCGGGATCTCACCGGCATGCCTCGGGGAGCACCACGCGGGGATTTTCACGTTCTCTCCAGGCTGCTCTTCCCAGTGACAAACCCGACCCTAATACGACGTACCCTGACAACACAGAGACCAGCTCAGCATCGGGTCTGGCCTCAGCACCACCCAGTGCAGCTGAGACAAGGCACACATCTTCCTGGCCCCTTGTCACAAGCCATCAGCCCAG